TTTAGGACTTTTCTTGGTTTTGCGAGAAGAGTGATGCCTCTGTAGTTCTCACACTTGCTGAGACCTCCCTTCTTTGGTATTTTGACCAGAAGTCCTTCTTTTCAGTCTATTGGTGCTTGTTCTTCATCCCAAATCTTGCTAAAGAGAATGATCCGTATCTTTGCATTAACTGCTACATCTGCTTTCAGTGCCTCTGCTGGAATGTTGTCTGATCTCGGCGCTTTGCTGCTCTTGATTTTTATGATTTACGATAATTTCCAGCTCGCTTCTCTGTTGTATCATACAACTGTCTCATGTTTCATTCTCTTGCAGCTTTTTCCGCCGCCATCGCTAGACCTTCCACGCATTTACGTTTGTCGGCTCCGGTTCTCCTCTTTGCTTGCTTGTTTGCTTCAGTGTATTCAGATTGTGACTTCACTTTCTCTGCTCTTGTTTGTCTGTTGTTAATTGCTGTCTTCTTGTTCTTTCTATCTTGAATCTTGTGCACGGTTTCCATGGAGATCTATTCTTCATAATGATGCTTCTTGTGGCCTAGAACCTCATGCCATGTTGAAGTGATTGCCTCCTTGATCCCTTTCCAGTTCTTCACCATGGTAGTTCCCTGTACATTGAGTAGATGGTGAAAGGCCTGTAAACTATTGCTGAGGGCTATTCTGAACCACTTGGGTCTGTCAGTATACCGAAGAAAGTTCGTATTAAACTTTTGTGCTTCTTGAGCTTCAGTTTCATCTTGGCGATCAGTACATGTTGAATTGAGGCTATATCAGCTCGTCTCTTGGATCTGACGTCTCACATCGTCCTCCTGAACTTTTTGTTGATGCAGATATAGTTGATTCGGTTCTGTGTAGTGTGATCCGGTGAAGTCCATGTGGTTTTGTGTTTGCGTGTATGTGGGAGTATAGTGCCGCCTATGACCAGTTTATTGAAGGCACATAGGTTTGCAAATCTCTCACCATTATCGTTCCTTTCACCTAGTTCATGTCGTTCCATGATGTCTTCATATCCGGTTTTGTCCATTCCAACCTTAGCATTTAGGTCTTCCATTAAAATGCTCAAGTCCTTTGTTGGACATTTCTCAATGGTTGACTGCAGCCTGCAGTAGAATTTATCTTTAACGTCTTCATTGTAGTCGTTGGTAAGCGCGTAGCATTGGATAACATTCATTGTAATGCCCTCCCTTTTTTGTTTTGAAAGAGGCTTTGATGGTCCTGCGTCCATAAGAATCCCATCCTATAAGTGCATTTTCTGCTGGTTTGGATAGCATCAATGCCACTCCTTGTATATGTGGAGCATTTTCTTCCTCATGGCCGGAGTATGACAGCAGCTCTTTTGAAGCTAGTAGTTGTTGCCAACTTGGGTCTAATGTGTTTCACTGATTTCAAGCACCTTCAGGTTGTATCTTTTCATTCCTGCAGCAACTTGGATGATTCTCCCGGTCTCCCACATTGTACGAGCATTTCGTGTACCTAAATTATTGATCGCTTTGGTTGTCAGAAGGACCATCAGCGTCGTGACTTCCGAAGGAACTCGACTTTCAACATGAAACATTACAACTCTTCTAAATGAAGACCTTTCAACTGCCAAGGCAGAGTTTTTTAGCTAGTTCATTTCCTACGGGATGGGGTCACTAACCTCATACCCAACCCTCCTCCTTCATCAGGGCTTGGGACCGGTAGTAGCCGCAAAGAGGCTCCAGGTGGAGTTTTAAGAATGATACAAATCACTTTATCTGTTTGAATTTATAGTAGAATATTTTTAAAAGCATAAAATATTTTCGTAGAGATAAACGTACTTGGATTTGTTTGGAAACTTAAATTAACATGAATCATATTTCTCCATGTTTCTTGAAGTTACAATTATAAGAATACTGAGAATCACACAAACTAGAAACTCTTCATCAATAAACTATTTACCATTTATAATACAAAATAGACAAAAATCGACAATCATTTTCTTGTTATGAGTTGGGTTTAAAATTTCATTTATTGAAAGATGCGTAAGTCAAGAGAATACGATTTTTATTAGAAAATGGATTAAAATTAATAATGATTTTAGAAAATTTGTTGATTATGCTTTTAATTAATTTTATAATGAAGAGAATATTTGTAAATGTTCATGTATTCCTTTGTTTAATTATCAAGACATGGAAGTCAGTGAACCAGAAGTATGCACCTTCAACTATCGACTTGTTACGTGTAATAATCTAGTAGATTAGCAGAAAATAATGTCAAAATAAATTCTAGTGTGTTTAATGAATAGGAGAATTATATGAAATTCCTTGTTAAATCTTAAGAAATCTGTTATCGAGAGAATGGTTGGATTATTGTTTAAATAACATTTTACAATAATCAAATAGAATGTTTAAAAAATGTATTAATCAGTTTGTTCCCGTTTAATCCATCTAGTTGAATATTATTGTTTAGTCTATTTTGTATTTTAGTCCTATTTCAAGTTGAATCTTTTAAATCTTTTGGAACAGTTGTCTATACTCTATTTTCAAGATTATAATTATTTCATACTCTTAGGAAATGTATCATATTATTGATCTTAAAACGTTTAGCAGTCATTTATAAAATTAAGGATGCTTTGCGAAGTTATTTAAACCTGTAATTTTCCCAGAGATCAAGCGTATCATGCTAATAATCAACTGCAGATTTTTTATACAATTGCCAAAACCATATATATATCCATTCAACGTTAACTAATTAGATCTAGTCACTATTTATTCTGTTAGAGACATATATTAATTATTAATATCTGTTAACTTTAATTATCTGGAAAATTTACGAGTCATATAAATACTTCTGTGGCGTTGAAGTATGCTAGCTTGATTGTGAACACTTCTCATTATTCTATGAATCATCATCACCTCCACTGTCTAACATAAGATGGTGTATTGTATTTATTCCTAAACTACTAAGTCGATCTGTTATAATAATCTTCTCTGTCACTAATCACCTGTTTCTAACCTTTGCTCGCCTCTTTAAATTTGTCTACCGTATGGTTTGATATATCAAATCATATCTAACGAATTGATTACCGATTGATGCCATGTATCAGGAAATGCTCCAACGTGATACAAATTTCAGTGACTCAGCATTTTCAACATTATCTAGATTAAATAAGGTCACTCATTTTTCTGAGTATAACATTTTGTGAGAATATAGTCTTTAATCTATGTTCGTATATACATTAAGGGGATAAATATTCACATTTCCTAAGGCATTGATTCTCGCAGCTAATTCATTTCATTTTATAAATAATAGTGGATTTACATTCCTACGCCTTTACGCTGTTCATCCTCCAGTTTATGATTCATGTCTAAGTCATTTTCCTCAATCTCTTAGGTACAGAGAAAGAATTAATATCATCATACTGGAAAAGAAGTACATTACTATTACTGTTTTATCCAACATAAGCGAATAAACAATTTACTCATCTTTACTGTTACAAATTTCGTTTACAACAGAATTGTTCAAACAGAATTTAGTCAACAAAATTAACTAATACCGGTGCAATAAATAAATAATCCAGCACTGAATTCTTCCAATGATATTTGCTCACATAAATCACCTATTTGTCAATAGTATCTTTACTGTAGGTAAAAAGGGTGTAAAATAAGCATGATTAAATTTCTTTCTCTTCCTATCTCTCTCTTTCTCATGAAAATTATGTACTATGTAAATGTAATAAAAACTTCTACTTAAATTTATAATTCATTCCTTAGTAAATACTTCAATAATCATTGAACATCTATCCATAACTTTGGTTAATAGTTTAGTTAATAATTCTGTAGTCAATTTGAACTTTACAGAGTAGGAGATATTATTAGCCATTACACGCATTTATCAGTTATATGTAAGTTTACACATTCATTCCTCACATATTTTGTTTTACTAATTATTAAATTATTCAATAGTTCAAAGAAACTAAAGCGCTAACTTTTAATGTAGATGACCTTTATTGAAATAACTATAATGAATATATCAATGCATAATTAATTTTTTATGGTTGAACTTAAACATGACTACTGCCATAAATTAGTAGTATATAAAATGTTCAATAATAAAGTTATGATTTTATAGCTCATGTACTTAAAAAATATGAGATTAAAGAAACATTATATTCATCTGACTCGATATTATGATGGGAAAAATGGGAAGATATGTATATGAAATTTAGATCAATAAATAAACTTATATATTCCTGAGATATTCAATTGGAAAGTATGTAACCCTACCTTAATTTAGTATGATGATAATCAACAACTGATTTAAATTTCATTTTGTCAATAATCATTCTGCCACAGAATTATGGCACATCAACAGATCGTCGCACAAACGCACAAGACTTAATGAAGTACTTTTTTAGGGACTTGGGTTATTTGCTAAGTTTTGTTTTTAGTACGTGTTCACCTATATTTCAAGAATCATCATAAATTGAAGAGCATAGGATACTATGTCGTCTTGCTTTTGAAACGTCAAGTAGTTCGTTTGGCTTGTATTATACACTGAGTAAAACTCATCATCTCTCTCCAAGTCATGTAATGTCGATGATACCTTGGGAAAAACAAGCCAAAAATCAGTAAATTTCATTTCTAAATTCAGACAATTTCAGATACCTTCTGTTCATAGTACCACGTCATATCCTAAAGGAACTGGATCTCACTAAACCGGCCTACTTTATACACACAGATTCATAACATCACTAACCTTCAAGATTCTATGTAATTCTCTCATACTGAAAATTATCTATAACTCATTGGCGAGTAATTTCCAGAAAGTAACGCAGAAATCCTAGTGAGAATCCGTGACTGGTGAAATTCAAAATCAAAACCCAACCACTTAACAAATGTGACAACTGTTTCTTGGTTTTCAATACATACTGTTAGATCAAAAACACAATTCAGTTCACTTGCTTGATATATATATGTATATAAATTTATAACTTGTCTACCGTTTCTTATATTTCTGTTTTTCTTTTCTATTATTCATCGACAGTTTCTATCAAGGTTATCAATTGAGTATGAGTGATTTGAAAAAAGCTACAACCGCTTCCAAGCAAACAGCAGGTTGCTTATTTACAAATTTTGAAGATGTTAGGGTAAGTCAACTTTAATTCTTAAATTCACTTTTGTTTAAAGAAAAACAGAATAAACATTCTGATTTCATGAAAGTTAATATTAATTTCAATTAGTTTACACCTGATTTTGTACATTATTGCTATGCGAAAGGTTCAGTCTTGCTTTATCTTGTTTTGCATATTATGTACAATTACAATTGATTGGTCATTGAGTATTGTTAAACAGCTTGAAACCTAGGTCCAGGATACCCTGTTGACTACTTCCAACCACCACTTTAATGTACATCTGTTTGATTAAAACAATATATATTGGAAATGACTCCAGTATAACTTCTACTACTTACTGTGTCTCTATGTAGGTATTTGATGCTTATAAGACAAAACGACAATCATAATTCGGATAGTGTTTTTTTAAAAATAGAAATCATTGAAAAAAATAATAACTGGTTATTAGATCAGTGATGATTATAAGGTAGCAAAACATAAATCCTGAGTGTTCTCAGCATAATCTCTGTTGTTTGTAAAGTTGGATGATGTTTAGAAGTGGAATCCAGAAAGCTCATTTTATTCTATTTGACACTTGTTACCTGGATTTGTCTGGACTTTAGTGTGATGTTCACACCAAGAATTGAACTCACTAGTTTTCATATCAAACTTTTAGCGTATTATTCACTGAGCTACTAAGTCTAGGTAGCACCTGCCTTGTGCAAAGTGGATGAATCGCATTTACGATACTTTAAATATATATAACAATATTGAGACGATTCATTTGCAACGAGCATATGACAAAAGAAACTGATCAGTTGCAGTCTTTAACATATCGAGCAGAATAAACAAACAATTACATACTGAATATGTTGGTTCGATATTAAAGGAGTGGAGTGGTTGTGTCTGTTGAACATGAAATTTATTCGCGTAGTCAACGGAGAGTAAGTAAATGTGACTAATATGAACAGCTCACCAAATAGGTTTCCGGAAAATTATAGCTCCTTTACGTGTACTGAGTATTTAGCCAACCATATATGGCTATTGGTTATATATCTCTCCTATTAAATCGGTAAACACATTGAATTAAATATTGGTCACAAAAGAATTATCCCCAACCGTTGTTTGTTAAGAATGGCTTCATAGAACATCTATTTCAATAGAAAGTTGTCTTTGTGACAGATGTCAAACCATAACAAAATGTTTATAAGGGAACAACTCTACCTTGCCCTTTTTTCAATCTGAATCATTGAGTTAAGAAAAAAATTTATTATCTATTCATTATGTTCAAAATGTCAACATTCTCACTCAGCTAGTTCTCTAGTGTAAACCACCTCATCAGTCACATAAATCACAGATTCTTACTAGAAAATGGAGGAGTTTATCATGAACCTGTTAAGTCAGTAAAGCAAGTGATGAAATCAATGTTTTCATGTACTATTGTACGTTTGTAATGGAAATTGCCTTTTAAATGTATTAAACAGTACATAAATTCATTAATTTATCGACAACCTTAAATATTATTTAGACGTTGATAATAATAGTACAACATTTTCTATATATTGTCTACAAATAATAAAAAAAACGATATCAAATGCCCGACTATCCAAACTTGAAATGTATGAAGTTCATCTGATTCTCCTTTTATTAATAATTTCTCTATAATATCTCAAGGTTACATTTGCAATTCTGTATATTGAATATGTTACTTTAATGCATTCTTTTATCAAGTTCTCTAAGAATTACATGAAATATTGTATACTATTAGCCTTCGTTTTTTAAATTGTTGACATTTTCCAAATTTATTTATCATTAGATTTATATACTTCATTCAAATTACAACTTGATTTCAGATACAAACTAAGCAAACAAGATTATAGAAAGTTTAAATCATTGGTGCATTACCATAGAAGTGTACTTACATATACAATAAGTTTTTACTCTAAAACTAAAAGTATCTTCATTGTTTTGTTTGTTTGATTGTTTTTCCTAACAAATTCTCATTTTATATCTGTTGGATCATCAATTATTTTTTTATTTAATTTGTTAACTTTTTGTGTTTATTTCTTTTTCTACTTAAAACAAAATCAATTCGATTAGTAATTTAACGAAATAATTCAAATCATAACAATTAGCGGTTCATAAATAGACATTGTTAAATTCAGTACATTAAGTAAAATAATTAAGAATTATTTAGTCTCTATTCCTTTTTTCTTCAACTAAGAACAGAGATCGAAGGTAACGAATTTGTATGGAGATTAAATTTCTTTACTTTAAATTTAATTTACTAAATGACTATCATTTTTAACTTTGAAATATACCCATATATAACTCTACCTATGTGCATATGTGTAGTTAGAAAATAGTTGTGTCTTGTAATTCTAGTTGCACACAACACTTATTTTGACGATTATACATGCTGACCATATGTTGAATGTTAGATCATTATCAAATACTTTTGTACGTTTTCAGTATAAAACAGAAGTATTTATGTGGATAATAATAATAACGCTATTTATTTTGGTACAAGATAATTAATTCTGTAAGTGAAAATTTGATTCCAGTAAAAAAATGTTTACGGAAAATCAAAATCAAATCACAAATTGAACGGGGATCAGTGAAGTTCAACTATGTTGGGTGAAAGATAGTTATCTACTGCAGGTAATGGACTAGGGTTGAACGATATTGCATGTTGGTTGGAGTTTTACATTAACACCACTGTATCGTGGCTCAGGGGTACAAAGGTTCAACATTCGCGCATAAGACTGGACGACTTCTGTTCGATCCCCGGATTTAAGGTTGTGAGTGTGCACTCCTTGTTCAGTGAGGAAGAAAAATTCAAACTCGATATCATTTCATCAAATATAGGAATAGTACTGATATTATTCTTGAATTCAGTACAGCTTTTGATTTATTAATTAAAATATGGATTGTTATTTATCCATCATTTAGGTTCTTAAATTTATGAAAAAATTCCTAAATTTTAAAAACAAGATCGATTCAGAGATGATTTTCGTCACGAAATGAACTCAGCTGGAAAAAATTCAAATATTTTGTATTATTCTACTTGATTTAACAAGCTGTATGACAAAAACGAAGCATTAGATTGTAAAGATGTATCCCTATCATCAGGTAACAATTCCTCAGTGTCGTAGTTATCACACGGAGTTAAAAAGCTAACATCATCATAATGTATCCTTAGATTTTACTATATGAATATGTTTGTTTTTACTTACGATAGCTGACTGAGAATATATACGATTGTTTTATATGTGTTTAAGTAAGTCTTGCATGCATCAATTGAGAGATTGAATACATTTTTGTAAATTTCTATAGCATCTCTCTCTCAATGGTCAATATGTCTTCACTAACCAGCATATTTCGGTTCAGTCAGTGAATTCTTAACACAAGAGCATAATTTTCACTGATAACTTTTTTCTTATTATTAATTTTCACGCAGTTTGCTTTTCTCATCCTGCAATTTGTGATGCGCTACAGTGGCGTGTTCGTATAAGAAATATGTCAATAGCATTAAGTGACAGAAATGTAATTTACAGTGAAAATTGCACTCATATATATAATACTGACGCATTATATAAGGATAAAAATGCCCGACAATACCGACGTTACACTTTTATCGCACATTGAAGACAGAATGGTTATCCTCATACATCAGTAGAAATACCTCCCAAGTAGAGTGTAATTAAAATCTTGAAAAATTATTTTACTTGACATATATTATGCACGTTTAATTAACGGAGTTTCAACAAGGTTCCTAAACTTTAAGTGTAAAAACAGATGTGAGTTGTGAAGAATTTAAAAACATCCAGAAATAATGATTGACAAAAGTAATGATTATTTTGCAAAATGCAGTCGATTTCCATAAGTCAACTCCGATTCTTTAACTTTTACAATTCCAGTTACAAATTGGTAAATATTAGTTAACAAAAACAATTAGTGTGAACATTAATTTAGTCTATGAAAAATTCATTGTGATTAAACGATAGATTGTCAATAGCTTAATTAGAATATATATATATATATATATATATATTTGAGGTAAATTATAATTTGAACACATCTAAAACAGAAATGTGCAACTACTGATCTCTTTGAGAATTACAAATCTAACAAGTGAATTCATGAGTCAATTGAAGGAAGACCACCATAGAAAACCTGAAAGCACTGGATGGCCGTTTCGTCCAAGTATCGGACTCTTCAGCAGTGTGCATCCCGCACGCACGACTCAAATACAAAACCCACGGTCTCATGCGCGAACGCTTAACCTCTAGAGCACTGAGACGGCTTTGAGGTTTCCCATGTAGGTTGAACCGACTCATGAATTCAACTATTAAATTACTACAATCTCCACAAAACCTTTTTCCTGATAATAACCACAAATCTATTTATTTATTAGAAATACAGATTAGATAAGTAGCTTGTATTTTTGATCGTGATCAGTTGTTGAATTGAGGATTATTGCTTTTTCTATTTAAATATCTCATTTGAAGTTGTTCCCACCGAAACCATAAAGATACACTCATCACCTCAAAACAGACCGTTATTCATTAACATCGTGAGTGACGATGTCTTCTACATGTATAATGAGTACAATTTCCATGTTTCTTAAATAAAATGTGATTGAAGATGTGTGATTATCAAGACTACTTTAAACTTTTTTGCATCTCAAATCATTCCTGAAGCATGATTTGATGTATTTGGTTCAAATCACAAATTTTAACTGATATAAGCGTTAGCGCGTGAAACCGGATGTCAAAGGTTTGATTCTCGCATGAAGTGCCATAGATGATCGCCTCTGAGGAGTTCCATGCTAGGCCGAAACGGCTGTCTAGTGCTTCCGGCTTGTTAATGGTGACCTAACATTGATTGGTTAACGACTGCAATGACAAAAGTTATCTTCAATAAGCATCCAAATTTATACATCACATCCCTTGCATTCGACTTGTAGAATCTATTTTATTTCTTTTCTCATAGAATGTCACCGCATAAAACTATATGCCTTCCTCATTAATTAACTTGAAGAAGTGTGTATGTCTCAGAGTAATTGAAATGCTGAATGTAATGAACATTTGTTTTGTCATAAGCTGTAACACCATTTCTCTCTCTCACCATATATATATATATATTATACATGAGTTTTTTAACGGGATTGGGGGCAGTGTGTCCAAACAGTGGTAGATTTATTCCATCAATTTTACATGAACGCACGCTTATATTGTTTCGAATTAGACATCAATTTGTTCTCAAACGTATGATGATGATTCGTAGATTTGTGTAAAATGATAATAAAATTATCTAATTACATCAATTATAAATATGGTTGTTAAATGTAGGTATATGTTATTGTTATAAAGATGTAAGATTTTGATCCAATCATCAATTAACAACTGTTTAGAAATTAGTTTTTCGAAACAATTTAAAGATCATAACAACGGAATCCACATTTTGTTGATTGAATCCGATTCTTACCTTAAAATATTGGTATGAGGAATTAGATCTTTTCGTAAAGTAACTTAGAAACATTCATATGGTTTAGTAAAGGTCATACACATTAGTGGCTGTTTGGTCTCAGTAGCTTAATGAATAATGGATTGTGCATTTCAAGGAAAATGTACTGGGTTGAAATCCCATAGTGAACATAATATTTCGGTTTCAGGTTTATCCAACTGATGAGTCCTAGACAAGATGAAACTGGAGTACCTGATTCCATTCCCATCCATATACCGACTATTTTATTCATATAGTTGTTGATTATATAATCCCTAGTTTACGTAATAAAGCATAACAAAGTTTTCATATAATTTAAACAAATTTAACTTCAGTACTGATTGAAGTAAATAGTACATACTTTTATTTTTAAAGAACTTAATCCATATGTTTTATATTAGACTTTTCGGTGCTCTATATATCTTTACGATGTCAATTAAGTGAACTTTTTAGACTGTTTTTCTTTTTAAGGGGAATCACTTCCAAATAAAGATGCTGAAATCAACCACATTTTAAGTATCTAAAATAGTTCTTCTAGTAACTACAACGTGGAAAACAGATTATAACCCGATTCTCACTCCTTTAGATTTGTGTCAGTTTTAACTTCCATGGACCTCGAATAGTACTGTCTGATATTTAAAAATGAAAATAAATCAATGCTTGTATTCGTTTGGACAAAGTGTTACTCATCAGATAGTTTGAATGCATCTCTTTAATTTCAAAGTAAATGCTCTGAACCATTCTCTATGTTTGGTCAATAAATAAATCAGGATTAAACACTTCAGCTGAATTTCGCCTTAGACATTCAAACACGTTTACTAGGTTTTTTCTAAATCGAGATACTATTGATACACTCATTAGAGCAGTTCGCTAAACCTAATTCAAGATTTTATAGTAATTTCTTAGAGGGATAATATTACCTGTTTAATTTTGTTCATTCTGTAAGACCGATCCACTACTCTAAAGGAAATAAATTACCCTGTTCCACCTCATAAGCATTTCTTTTAATAACAATAACACTTACTGATGACATTTTGATTATCTTTTGAGGTTATACAACAACTAAGTACAAATTGACTTTCTGACTGTGAAATAGGTTATCAAAATCTCAAAGTTTTTTATATAAGTCCCATCAATAATTAAATGATTTCGGATTAAAATTGCCAGATTACTAGCAGCTCCAATTAAAAAATCTACTATTGATTGAAGAATAATTGTAAAGAAAAGTTAAAGTGTTACAAAATCACATATCTCAAAATTAATAATCCTCTATATTCTCTTAATGTCAACTAGAACTATCAATATGTTAGACATAGATGAGTGTTAGAATTGAGTCCTCGTATGTATGGTGTTCGTAATAACCCACAATATTAAACAATGAACAATTTTTTTTCAATAAAATTATGTACAATTTCATTGATAATAACCAAGAAATTAAGATTTTTCACTTAAATATTATTTATTTTTCATAAATGAAACCATTTTTATTCACTCGTGATGAGGATGATGATGATGATAGTGAGAGTGATGTAACTTGTAGAAATAATCAAATATAAGAGTTGCACGCAATCTTAACCTGAACAACTGACAAATTTATCAAAAATTAACACTTAATCAATTCTGTAATTATAGATGTATTGCAATAAATATACATCTGTTCACTTAATTTCATAGTATTGTTCATTGATATGTTTAATAGATCTCTGATATTACTTACTAGCACATAGTAACATAACTGGAATTTCCGATTGTGTATGGATATATCACAGTCTCAAGTAAGCAATATTCCTGAGACATAATACGTCATATAAGTTCAACAGAGGTGATTAATTGCATTCAGATACATAAAAAATCAACAATATCAGTAGACAATGATGATGTAAAAACAACTAAACTTACCTGGTAAATATAAAAAAGAATTTATTATCATTAGTAAAAATTAACAGCAGCAACGATGGGAAATAGAATTACTTATTTGTAAAATTACCATGAGTGGTGTAGTATTTCTTCGAATTAAATAATTTAATTATGATGATAATTTTCCTTGTGAAAAGTTTGTTTCTATAGTTTTCTATCAAATTAATCAGTTAATTAGTTAATCTTGATTTGTTTTCTGAATAATAGTGTTGGTCAAACATTTGACATGGGAATGAACGAAGTTTACTAATGTCCATGATGCTACTAATTCAGATAAAACATTTATTTTAGCTGTCTGGTACAATTCCCAACAATAAATAATTGTTTTATCTCTTTCATTTTGATCATGAATCGATGAATGTTGAACTACTATTGAAAACCTGAAAGCATTGGACGGCCATTTCGTTCTATTATGGGACCACACAGCAATGCGCACCCAACTCCATATTGATAATTACAACGTACTCAGTAGTGACTAGCTTCGCAAGGGAATCCTCGGAGTTCTAGTGAGAAGCTGTAACCAGTGGACCTAATGTATTTCGGGTAGAAACAGATATCTACCTTAAACAATGAGTGAATGGTTGCGCAGGATTATGGATCGATTGAAGTTCTATGTTAACACTGTTGAATGCCGGCTCAGCAGTGTAGAGGTTTAGCGTTTGCGCGCGAGACTGTGGGTCCTGGGTTTGAGTCCCGCGAGCGGGATCACGGATCCGCGATGCTGAGAAGTCCCATTCTAGGACGAAACGGCCATCCAGGTTTTCCATGCTGGTCTACCTTCAATCGATTCATAATCTCAATCAAATGAGTAAATTATTCTTTCCTGATAGGATTTTTGTTAAGTATAATCAAAATGAGTTTTTACGAATCATTGTTTAAGCGTGTAACTTATTTATGTAATCCTTCACGCGTAGAGATTATACGTAACAATATTCCTAAACTGTGTAGTCGAATTCGTTCTATCAGACCTTTTATAAGCGAATATAGTTAAAATTTAGAAGTATTCAATGCTTTTAAGTACAAAATAATATCTATAGGCCTATTAATTAATTAAGTAGACGAATGATAATATTAAAATTGTTGATAAACACGAAAATGAAAATAATCCCGATGTATGATCACGTTGCCTAACTTTTGTGCTATCGTAGAATGAAAAAACACAGCTTTTCAGAGATATTTTATCCTACTTTTTAAAGATTCCTCAGTTGTTTATAGGTTTTGAAATGAAATTACCTTAAACTATATTTAAATGTCCAAGTGTGAGATATAGAACGCCTGTTTTGTTCTGTCGGACTCATCAACTGGATACATGTGGACGCCAGTGTTGATTTTCATACAGGGACGCCAACTCAGTATCTACTGCTTCAAAAGCCAAACAAACTATCCACTGAGCTACTGAGTCCAGATAACTACTCATTTTTCCAGTGAGTATGACATTTATATCATTATTAGAAGGAGTGTGGGTATGCGGAAACAACTCATACAAGACTAACTTATGCTGACAGAAGCTGACCAAAATTCAGTCAGTAATATTAACAGATGGAATAACTCAAACCTCTTTCAACAATGACATATATTACATTTTGTATCGATCAACCATCTATACCTGGTTATTTGTAGATATCAAGTTAACATAGCTAACCATAATTATTTAAAAATAATACATCGTTAGTACTGACTTTCTGTGTTATTACGCTTTAAAAATGATTGATAAATAACTATAATAGTATGCTTTTAAGGTAATATACATTTCACTAAAAAAGTAGTTGCCAAGTTCTTAAGCTTATTAGACAGATATTTTTGTTCAACAATGTTTAAATCAATTATTCTAATTACCAAGTAATATAAATTTCCGATTCAGTGGTAACAAAATGAAAAAAATTCAAAAGTATTTAACGGATTAAGATTACATAAGTAGTAACTATGATTTAACTGGGTTTTTTCAACAAACTGAAACTCCGGATGTTAGTCAACATTTTTCATTGAATAATAAATGAGATAATACATTATAATTTATAAATGAATTGTCATATACAAGAACTTGCTCGAATATGTAACTTCCTCTGATGAATTCAGTTAAACAGAAATCAATATCATGTCTCTATAATACTTATAAATAGAAATTAAAATTAAGACTAAAATCGATTCTTCTCCGAAATACTTGTATAAAATATAGTTATGAAAAGAGCCCATTAATAGTTTTTAACAAAATTACTTACAAACCATGTAGCTCTGGTATTTGTAAAGTTTAAATAAAAACTAAATAACTAATATAATTTTGAGGCAAATTTATTAATTTTCTGATATTCCTCAGTAGTGTCCCAACTTTTGTCAGTGTCTTTGATTTACTTTGACTGTTAAATTTATTGAATAAATCCATAACTGTCTGCTTCATTTCACTGATAAATTTAACTGATTCTGCTGATGTCAGATTTGTCTTCATTTCTAATAATTTAATTGTAGTTAACTGATGAAGAACGTGTTTATTTGAATGCAGCGGCGACAGGCGATATTGGCATCATTCGTATGTCATTAGAAGATACTGATGAGTCAACTGACTTCAATGTAAATTGTGTTGATTATATGGGACGCAATGCATTACACCTTGCTGTTGATTCAGAAAATACTGAAGTAATGGAATTATTATTAGACAAATTAAATTTTGAATGTATCGAAGAAGCTTTATTACATGCTATCAGTAAAGGACATCCTAAACTAGTACGTGTTATTATTGAACATCCAAATTATCAAGCTGGTGAAGATCAAATTAAACGAATGGATTCAAGAAATGCATTTTTTCGTACAACAGAAAAAAGTCAATTTTCACCTGATATAACACCATTAATTCTATCAGCTCATTATAATAATCATGAGATGGTACAAATGTTTTTATCACGTAATCATACAATTGACAAACCACATTCAATATCATGTCAATGTAATGATTGTCAAGTTAGACAAGATTATGATTCATTGAAACGTTCACGTTCTAGGCTAAATGCTTACCGTGCCTTAGCAAGTCCAGCTTATATGGCATTAAGCAGTCCTGATCCAATAATGACAACATTTCAACTACGTCAAGAAATGATGAAATTAGCAGAAATTGAAAAAGAATTTAAGGTAAGTACGCTGACAATCAGTTATGCGAAAAATCTCAAATATTCTTTAACTAACTATTAAATATGTATAGTTTGTTTTGAAGTGAGTCTATTTCGTGGACTACTATAACTTTGTGGAACTTTGAAAATAAGTAAGTATTTGATATCTGTTTCATCTTCATCTTCAACTCTTCGACAGTGCTAACTCATAAACACATATGTTATATAATCTAGTCGGTCATTAAACGTCTGACAAAATAAGTTCAGGCCCATTGACCAACCTATTCAATCCATTGAACAAGTGAAGTCAAGATACAAAGCTAGTATGTATTCACTATCTAATCGTTTGGGTCTAAACAGCTATTCAATGATTTCTGGTCTTTGATATTTTACAGCTGATGTCTGTCTATGATGTAACAAAATTTATGTTGAATGATCTCAACAAAACCTCATCTTTTCACTAATTAAGGTCTTTTATCAGAATGTATACTAGTAATTTAATTAAATATCTTGAGATTTTGATAAAGTAATCGGTGTTATAAACAAAATGGTACACCAAAACATATCTGTGAAAATGATCTGTTGGAATGGAAATCTAGATTGTTTACACAGTAACTGAGAGTCAAATTTGTTTAGAGAAGTCCAACATCAGTTTCGTGAGTCATTCCTCATAAATTAAAATAATATCAAGTTTTAGTTCTGAGTGTTCGAAGGCACTTACCACGATTCCCTGGACTTATGGTTTCAAGTTAATGGTTGCTCATCACCAAATTGTCGCTGCAATGTTAAGTGGAATGATACTTCTCATGAGATATAAATCCGCAGCACTGAGTATTATAATGAAATTCATTGCCAAAGCATTATTCATCTTTTAATTGATTGAATCAGCCTTTTGCTAGCTTCCTTGACGTACTGGCACAAGGCTGTTATTTTCCGAGATAATAAAATAGAGAGTGAGACAATAACTAACCCAAAATATAAAATATAAATATCGCGAATTCACTAAAGTTGCTAATGTAAATTATGGATTTCTGACAAAATTTCGTATACATCAGAAGAAAAAAGAAAATTGTAAGGTCAGCTCACTTTGGCCACACGGGTGAACAGTGTTGAAAATTTATGTAGTGAAAGGCATTTACTATGCGTTATAACTTTCTATTGGTTCAGCTTATATCTCTTCAAGGTGATAATTCCTGCTTACTGCAACTTCTGAATTAGTTTATCACGAATACTCCTCCTAAAAATTTTGAACTGATTATTCTAGTGTCTGTCATAATATGTGATCGATAGCTTTGTTACCCAAATAAAGACAGTGTATCTCTTGCTTTATGTATAAATTTTCAGGTAATAAGCCGCACAAAGGATTGAAAGATATTTACAGTATGAAATTACTCTATCACTTGTTAAATGACTTATCAGACTAATCATTGTAATCATTTTATAAATCCTTCGTAGAATTTTTTATTAGAATAGAAAATAAAAATTTAAATTCTATAAATTACGTCATGCACTGAGCCCTTTCAACCCATCCACTGAAAAACCAGTAAGCACTAGATATGTTTTATTTTAGTTAAGGACTCCTCAGTAGCGCTGATTTACGACCCCTCTGGAAATTAAGACGCAAGACCCTCAGTTCTCGAAACCATTGGACTTAAACAACCAAACAAGCGGATAATGGTTCAATAGTCTAAGTTCTGAGAGCTTGCAGCAAAACATAAAAGTCCTGGTTTCCACCATCGTTGGGATCGTGGATATTCACTGTCGAGAAATCTCATACTAAGACGAAATAACTGTCTAATCCTTCCTAGTTTTTTAATACGTGTTTAACTGAGACCAGCTTGTGATGTGTTCGTCAAGCTTCAACACTCTCCACAACGCATTCAACATTAATTAATAAATTTTAGTGCCTAAAATGAAATTATGTCAGAGAAAAATTTATGTTTTTTATAGTAATAATAATACAGAAAAAAACCGTTATATAGTTCTTTTACTCGTTGTCAGCGTATTCCCATTGAACCAGATGTTGATTTAAGACAATAATCCACAAAAACAACATCTACCATGGTTAATTAACGTTGCTATTAATCGTTAGATTTGCTTTGTGTACATTCCTATAACCATCTGTCATTTGTTAATAACATGAGAGAAACAAAATTATAACACTAATCTATTTTTTTCCGTTCAGAAAATTTTAGAGCAATAATAATAATAAAAATTTTGCTTCAATCGTTTATACGTTTATAAATATGTGGTGTAGTATCATTCTGTTTATAGGTTTTTTAACTAATTGCTACCAAAATCATATGATGCTTTATGCTCTTCAAGAAAGAACGTTCTATGATCAGTTCCGATAATAGCTACGTTGCTTTTATTTCAATGATAACGATTTTCAACAAAAAGAGAACACGATTATAAATAGGATAGATTGATTTGGAAGACGATTTTATTTTCCTTTTGCTAATGTTATAGTTAGTATCGTGAGAGAATTGTCTCAATATTTTCATTTAATCATGTTTTTTTTTAAGTTAACGTGAACTGTATACAATTTACACAATTAAGAATCTTTTATATTGGATCGTATCAATGTACCAGTGACACGTATCTAAATTTTGCATGACTCCTGCAAAACTACTGTATCTTAATCTATATAATTTATGCAATTTTTCTTTGTGAGGTTTACCTGAGCTGATCAAATGGTTGTGTGATATTTCTATAACTGTAAATACTACGTATTGTTTTGAAGCATTTTTTTTATTGAAAATACAGTGACATATCTTCGAAATATTTACTATTTGGAAGAATTTGGACACACAATAAATATCCTGTACTAACTCATCTGTATCTCATTAAGATGATTTCTACAACATTCAGCAGAAAATATGATTCCATAAAAGGATCAACCTAATAGGTTCAATTGTACTGGCGTAAAAGATATTTGAGTGATGTGAAACCATACAATTAAACATTGGTGCAGTTTGGATACCCAACAAAATACAAAAATGGGTGGATGCTTCAAACATTACTGAGAATCGCTAACTTTTTGTCACTTCAGCGGAAAGTTTTTATCACCTCAACTTTGTGTTGAAATAGAAGTTTAAATCAACGGTCTGTAAACTTTACTGCAAAGCCAAGATATTTATAAATTATAATAGGAAATACAAGTTTCATAGAAATCTCCAATAGCAGCTGAATTGTAAAGTCATACCAAATTGCATTTGTTGATTTACACGTATGTATACTTGTAATGATAAAACATATGCATGAGTAATCGTGATATTTAATTAGGTATAGCATAATAAAGGAAATAAGTGGTAGCTTAGCAAAAGGATTTCACTAACCCAATAAATAAAGACGATAAATATTTGTCCCTATCCATTTCTAGACGATTATTAAAAATAGATCACAGATTTATTTTAAAAATTTATTTGTACAAATGTACTGGTGTGGACAGAGGTGAATGCTTAAATTTATTCAAGCCCTAGAGATATGATTTTCAAAACCTCCCTTGTGTATTCCAAAATCAATTCATATTTCCAATAAATCTAATCTGGTACCACTGATTTTCCTTTTTAAAATTAATATTGATGTGAGTAATGTTTAATTTGTAATTATCCTTGTTGATTTTATATTCCCAATTGACCTTAATAGATGATCAGATTATTTAAAGTTTACCGTTGTGTCGATGAATAAAAATACAGAGAATTCAGCGAAGGAAATCTTTTCGACGAAGTTGTGGATTATGTATGAACTCTGTGCACAAAAAACGATAAATCCAACCCCTCATTCTTCCTTGGCCTTAATTCGCTTCTCCGATATTTTTGGCTCTTGCTTTTATTTTCATTACTATTTTGTTCTTCGCCAACAGTTTTTCATGACTATTATCCAACTGTTATTGAATAGATTTTTCTCATTTTTTCATCATATCTACGAAGTGGACATTTAACTCTGGTCTTTCCGACCTGTAAATTATTTTGATCCTCTTATTGTTCGCTAACCTATTGATTATTAAACAACCTTCTTTTGACATTTGAAATCTCGAATAACTTTACGATGTAATCTCTTCTATCCCTCTATAGATGGATATATTTGTCAAATAAATGTAAATACGAATGCACAGAATGCGAATGATTTCATCAAGAGGAAAATTTTCTTCGCTGAATTCTCTCTACATGATCAGATTGTTCTAGGTGTTGTGCGCTAATATATACGATCGTGATAAATCTCGTCTTTTATTCTCGTCCAATTCAAACATGAATAAAACTATCAAATAAACAATAAATTTGTTCAAATTAATTTTCAATTCACCCACTCATAAATTACATCAATATGGAAATCATAATTGTTATATTTGTATTCAATATAAAATTTTGCATTTTTTACTTAAAAGTTGTGTACAAATTGACATATATTAGCCACCTTTTTATGGAACAGTTACTGTTAAATATTACTAAGGGTTTGGAAGAGAATAATCGTCATTAAGGTAGAATTTCTTTCTTTGGGCTGAGTGATTTAATTGTGAAACTTTCTTATTTCTTCTAGATGAAGTCATTTTCGAAAAATGTGTGGTAGAAGTGAGCCATTCAAATTTCTCTATGTATGACCACCAGCTTGTTCTGTCAACCCTCAGCTTGACTAAATATCGTTATCCTTTGATGGCACATTTGTTTTATCGGCCCCCAGTTGATCATGTTCTTGTATTAGTTCAAAAGTTTCATATTTGGTTGATAAATTAGGTCGATTTCAATAAATAACAAAAGAGCCTACTTCTGTTCAGAGTTTTTGTAGATGATGTTGTTCAAAAACGTGAGATCAAAATTATCAAAGTCATCTGCCTTATCAACAAGTCGTGTCCAGCGCCTATTACAATTAACCAAGTCTACATTTCTGTACTCTAACATCCTAACTGACTGACTGAAAAATCACAAATAATAATCTTTGAAAGAATAAATTACTACATTTTGAAATGAAACGTTTGGATGAAATTTTATAAATCAATATATCAAATAAGATACTTCAGATTAA